CAGGCGGGAAATCGGGAGGCACTGAAGGCGAGGGGAGGGTTCCTGCCCCTGCAGCGGCCTGGGAGTCTCAGAGGGGAGCCCCCTGAGGTCCCCGCCCTGCGTGGAGCCCCTACAGCAGGACCCGAGTGAATAGCAAAGGAAGGCGCCAACAGTCCCATGAAGGGCTGTCTCCTGGGCTTGGCCAGCAGCATTGTCCTGGCGGTGCCTCCTCCAGCACGCTGCCATCCTGCACCCTGAGGAAAGCCTCAGTCTCAATGGACATCCGCCTCCCAGATTTCCCAGCCCGTCCTGTCGTTTCCATTGGCTCGATCCCTCCCAGCCTGGTGTCAGGGCCACCAGCTTGCAGAGAACAGGGGAGGGGCTCCCAGGAGTGCAGAGCGGGGTGTGGAGGGAGGTGGTCCTATTTGTGTGAAAATGTCAATCAAGAAAGATCCCCTGCCCGGCTGGTGTGGCTCAGTGGTTGAGCATCGACCCAGAAACCAGGAGGTCAGGGTTGGATCCCCAGTCAAGGGCACATGCCTGGGTTGCAGGCTCCATCCCCAGTAGGGGGCGTGCAGGAGGCAGCCGGTCCATGATTCTCTCTCATCATTGATGTTTCTATTTCTCCCTTCCTGTCTCTGAAATCAATACAAAATATTTTTTTTTAAAAAAAAATAAAGAGCCCTGACCAGTTTGGCTCAGTGGATAGAGCGTCGGCCTGTGGAATGGAAGGTCCCAGGTTCGATTCCGGTCAGGGGCATGTGCCTCGGTTGTGGGCACATCCCCTGTGGGGGGTGTGCAGGAGGCAGCTGATCGATGTTTCTCTCTCATCGATGTTTCTAGCTCTCTGTCCCTCTCCCTCTCTGTGGAGAATCAATGGAATATATTTTAAAAAAAAATAAAGAAAGAAAGATTCCCTCAGGGGCAGAGCCCTGGGAGGGAGACGTTTACCTGCCATGGCCTCCTTCCTTCTCTGAGTCTGAAGGTGCGGCAGGGTCCCCTGGAGCAGTGGTTCTCAACCTTCTGGCCCTTTAAATACAGTTCCTCCTGTTGTGACCCAACCATGAAATTATTTTCGTGGCTACTTCATCACTGTCATGTTGCTGCTGTGATGAATCGTCATGTAAATATCTGATAGGCAGGATGGTCTTAGGCGACCCCTGTGAAAGGGTCGTTCGACCGCCAAAGGGGTGGCGACCCACAGGTTGAGAACCGCTTCCCCGAAGGGTCTCATTCCCCACAGCGCGCTGGGGCGTGTCCCCAGTGGCTGATTGACAGGCGGAGGGAGGGCTGCGAATCATCCGGGACCAGTGGAGCTGGCCACTCACCCTCAGCCAGCAGTGCCCTCAGATGCACCTCCCAGCCCCCTGCTAAGTAAGTGCCTGTGGGAAAGGCCCCGCTCTCCCTCGTCCTCTCTGCACCCCGCCCCCTCAGCTGTGACCGCATTGCCCTCTCTTGGTCCTTTCCATCCTCCCTCCATTTCTGCTTTCAAAAGGGGGAAAAAGCGTTTTGATTACGAAGCATTTCCAGGGCTGTTTAGGTTGGCCAAGCACTGGGACTTTTGTTTGCCTTCCCTCCCGGCCCTGCCTGAGTGGAGGTAACGTTATTATCTCCTCTTGACAGGTAAGAAAGTGCTGACCGAGAAAGGCCCACAGGCGGCCAAGGTCAGACAGGGCATGGCAGGGGGGCCCCTGTCCCCGCCAAGCGTGGAGGCTGGGCCGGCGTGCAGGGCGGAGGCTGTGGGGACAGAGACCCCAGCCCAGAGGGCCCAGGAACTGCTCGAGGGGGACACCAGCACCCACTGGGAGCAACAGAAGTGAGGAGGACGAGGCTGCCGATCCTGGGTGCAGGGGGAGGAGGCCTGAATTGAGTGAGTATGAGAAACATGGAGAAAGCAAGTCCGGGTTGGGCGCCTGCCACGTCTGCCAGGCTTTACGCCCTCCATTCTTCCCACAGTCCTGTCCTCTTTTTTATTTTGAGTTGTTTAATTTTGATTGATTTCAGAGAGGAAGGGAGCGGGAGAGAGAGAGAAACATCCATGATGAGAGAGAATCATGGATCGGCTGCCTCCTGCACACCCCCTACTGGGGATCAAGCCTACAACCTGGGCATGTGCCCTGACCGGGAATCGAACCGTGACCTCCTGGTTCATAGGTCGACGCTCAACCACTGAGCCACACCGGCCGGGCCTCATTGGATTCTTAAAAGCACCAGTGGGTGGTCAGGGAATGTCACAGACACCAAGGCTCTGGGCACAGGGATGTGTCCCTCAGGGCCTCTCTCTTAATGGCACGGCCTCTTGGGAAGTGTCCTGGGCTCTATGGGCCAGGGCATGGGGCAGGGAGGACCAGGAGGCCCGGTAGTGACCTGTGAAGCCCTTGGTGGTGTGAGTCACCCCCCTGTAGAGTGGCCAAGGAGAGGTGGGGGGGCAGGTACCAGCCTGGGAGCCAGCCCTCCACTCCTCCCTCCGCCTCCCCATCTGGACTTGGTTGCAGGCCGCCCCACTTCCCAGCCTCCCCAGCAGCTGGCCCCTCACGTGATCGAGGTCACCAGTGAGTGGCACGTGCCAGGGTGCCGGCTCCAGACGCGGTCACCACCCTGTCTCCTGCTCTTCCTGCTCCTCCTGCCTCCGTGCAGAAGTGAGGCCTGGCCAGGGGTGGCTGGGGGTGCCTGAGGATGGCAGAGCCCGCAGCTCCAAGGAGCCTGGCTCCCCATTCCCCTCCCACGGCCACCCAGCCCTGTGTGCTCCCGCCTGGTTCCGTGAGGAACCGAAACCTCTATGAGAGGCTGTGGTCAGCTGTGGTCAGGGGCAACTGAGCCCAATCCCAAGTCCCAACGGTCTAGGAGCCGTCTAGAGGGGCCTCCTGACCTTGAGGTCTCTCGGTCTCAGACCTGGCTTCCAGGTCCTGGGGACCAGCCCTTACCCAGCACACACTCAGCCCACAGCCCCTCCCCGGGGCCTCCCTCCAGGAGCTGTGCGTGACGCCCACCCACTCTGGGCCTGGTGTTCCCACCACGGCTGTCTTCACCCTGCCAGGCTCAGCTGTTAGGCAGGCAGCTGGACAACACAGCAATTTCCCTTTTTTAAGAAATATATATTTTTTTTATTGATTTCAGAGAGGAAAGGAGAGGGAGAGAGAGAGAGAGAGAAACATCAATGATGAGAGAGAATCATGGACCGGCTGCCTCCTGGAATCGAACCTTAACCTCCTGGTTCCTGGGGTCGATGCTCCACTGCTGAGCCATGGCGGCCGGGCTGGTCCCATTTTCTTAAGCGTTTCACGAGGTTCTCCCAGAGGCCAGTGCCGAGAGTGGGAACCCATCTCTTGTGACATAATTACTGCCACACAGATGGAGAGCTGGGGCTGGCATCAGGGCCCTGGATGGCTGGGCAGGCTGTGCACTAGACACCTCCCGGGGCCACCAAGCCCCACCCTGGGGGTCCAGCCTGCAACCTGGGCATGTGCCAAGCCCCCCAGGCTTCCCGCTGAACGCCCAGCTCAGCGTCACCATGGAGATTTTCACACAGCGCCCCGGAAATCCCGCGCCTACTTCTGCTGTAACTTGTCTACCCCTCCCCATTCCTGCAGGAGCGCCACCTCCCCCGTGGCCACCAACCCCAGGGCAACTCGGGCTGGGACTGATCTGGACGGCATGGCATCACGGGGTGGGGGCCTCGCCCCTGCAGGGCCCCCCCAGAGCCTCCATCCTGGGAGCGGGTGCCCCCGGTCCCCTGTCTGCCATGCCCAGCTGACCCTGGCCCCGGCAGGAGCGCATGGCCTCCCTCCTCTGCCACCTCTCGCTGCTGACTGGCCTCCTCCGGGAGGAGATAAACCGCTGGGGGACTTTGTTTTCTGTGACAGCACGTGGGGGCTGCGCCCAACAGAAGTGCAGGGTGAGTCACTAGGACCGGTTTCCTCCGTGCCCACCCCTCCCCCGCCCGCCCCACCCCCACCCCCACCGGCCTGTTTGGGCTTCTCTCTCTCAGGAGGCCTTCCCAGCCTCACATACGTGTCCTGGGTGTTTCTGTCTTGTGACTCGGGCCCAGCTGCCACCGCATTCCTGCTGCGACACTTGGCCGGTGTGGGTGGGCAGCCCTGAGTGGGCTGGGGGTGGGGGGCGGGGTGTTATCAGAGTTCTGCTTGGGGCCCAAATCCAGAGAGAGCTCGCCAGCCCAGGGGCCAGGCCACACCTGCTTGTCTGTGAAGGAGAGAGGGCAGGTGGGCCGGAGACCCAGGGGAGCAAGCATCTGCCTCCCCCGGGGCAGCGGGGCCTCTGCCAGGTATGAAGTCGCTGGGGAAAGAATGTCCCGGCCAGCTGATGCCTCCCACTTTCTATCTCCAGCCTGGCCCTCCGCCCTGGACTCCGGGCCCATAAATCCAGCTGCCTCCTCCCCAGACCATCATTCCCGATTTCCACCCCCAAAGGCTACTCCTCCTGCTACCTTGGTGCCTCCATTCTTTCTTAGCTCAGGCCCAAAGCCATGTGACATCCTTTTTTTTTTAATTTTATTTTTAAAATATATTTGTATTTATTTCGGAGAGGAAGGGAGAGGGAGAGATAGAAACATCAATGATGAAAGAGAATCATGGCTCGGCTGCCTCCTGCATGGCCCTATCGGGCCCACAACCCGGGCCTGTGCTCTGACCGGGAATGGAGCCCCACATTTTGCTTGGTCCCCAAATGCTAGGTGGGGAGGCACACAGACCAGGTTCCCGGCACCAGCTGAACCTTGGAAGCGGCCACCAGCTGCCATCACTGGCTGCCACCTTCAATGCCAGGTCTCGAAGCCACGGGTGGTGGAAGGAGAAATCGTCCCCGTGGGCAGAACGGCTTCTCTGATACACATTTATTAGCAGGGCAGCCGAAGGTGTCGGGAGCTGAACGGAGGCAGCTGCCTCTGGAAGCGAGGCCGCCGCGCAGGGCGGGGGTGGGGGGTGGGAGGCCAGGACGAGGGACGCTGGGGAACAGCTTCTGCTGGCAGGAGAACTGTCTTTGAAAGTTCTGAACATTTTTGCAGCTTTCCTCCCCCCGGGAACCTCCTGACCTGTCCCTCCTCGGAAACCCATCAGTCACCTCCCAGGCCCCATCCAAGCAGATGCTCTTCTCCAAACGGCCAGCCGGGGAATTTCGGTGCCGGGGCACCTCGCCCGCCATGACTGAGGTGCGTCTAAAGAAGTCCGTGTTAATGAGCTCTGTTATAAGCCCGAGGCTGATTCCCCAGCCCATGTGGCTCAGTGGTTGATGTCAACCTATGAACCAGGTCATGGTTCGATTCCCGCTCAAGGCACATGCCCGGGTTCTGGGCTTGATTGCCAGTAGGGGGCGAGCAGGAGGCAGCCGATCCACGATCCTCTCTCATTATGGACGTTTCTCTCTCTCTCCCTCTCCCTCTCCCTCTCCCTTCCTCCCTCTGAAATGAATAAAAACAGATTTAAAACAGGTTTACATAAGGTTCTTCATGGGAAGAGATTGGTTGAAAGACGGTTTCCCTTTCCACAAACCTGTACTCAACACGAAAACCCTTTATTTTACAGATTAAGACACCGAGGCTGAGCCGAGGTGAAAGCCACGGCCAAGGTCACCGACCTGAGAAGAGCTCCAAAGCTTGGCTCCAAGCTCAGATCTTCTGACTCGAATCCAGCGCGGCCGAGGCAGGAAACCGGCAGGATGGCCCCTGCGGGCCGGCTGCTATGCGCTGGCCCGTCCTCAGATAAGGAGCTCCCGGGAGAGGAAGGATCTGGGACAAAGATCTGAACGGAGCGGGCGGACAGGAAATTCTGCCGGCTGGGATTTTCCCTGCCACCGGGACCCAGGCAGAGGGGCAGGAGGGCCAGCGAGCCAGGGTTCCCGAGACGCCCAGTCACGGTGCCAGGCTCCCCAGCGGTCCCCTGGTAGGCAGTCCCTGCCCTCTAGGACCTCACCATCCAGGCAGTCCGATCCCCAGAGTGCAAGGAGATCCTGCCAATCACAGCTGCCGGGGGCAGGGGGGACGGGGGCTGCTCAGAGAGGAAAACACATTTGACGGGGGCCCTGGGAAAGGGTGCGGAAGAGGGGGCTGGGTAGAGCAAGAACAGGTGATTTTCTTTTTAATATTTTTATTGATTCCAGAGAGGAAAGGAAAGGGAGAGAGAGAGATAGAAACATCTATGATGAGAATGATGGATCGGCTGCCTCCGGCACGCCCCACACTGGGGATCGAGCCTGCAACCCGGGCATGTGCCCTGACCGGGAATTGAACCGTGACCTCCTGGTTCACCGGTTGACGCTCTACCACTGAGCCACACCGGCTGGGCAAGATCAGGTGGTTTTCCAAGTGAAAGAATCAGCATGGGCCATGGCATGGAGGCAGGTGGGAACCTGAATTTGAAACCAGAAGCGGGGGCGTGGGGCCAGGCAGCAAGCTCGGGGCCCCGCGTTGGCATGCTCTTGCTCTGCAGGTGGCCGGGAGCCGTCGGAGGTCTGTGCACGGGACAGTCCCAAGGTCAGTGTGTGTTTCTGGCAGTGAGTCCTGGGCGGAGGGGAAGGGGAAGAGGAAGGGGAGGGGATGGAGGAAATGTGGAGGCCCGCTGCTGTGGCAGCTAAGATGCCACGGGATGAGGTAGAGGCCAGGGAACCAGAAAGGCAGGGCTGGTTTTAAGAAATATATTTAAACTATATCTGGCCCAGGTGTGTATGTGTGTATAGTGTATGTGTGTGTGTGTGTGAGTGTGTGTGTGTGAGTGTGTGTGTGAGTGTGTGAGTGTGTGTGTGTATGTGTGTGTGTGTGTGAGAGTGTGTGTGTGAGTGTGTGTGTGTATGTGTGTGTGTGTGTGAGAGTGTGTGTGTGAGTGTGTGTGTGAGTGTGTGAGTGTGTGTGTGTATGTGTGTGTGTGTGTGAGTGTGTGTGAGAGTGTGTGTGAGTGTGTGTGTGTGTGTGTGTGTGTGTGAGTGTGTGTGTGAGTGTGTGTGTGAGTGTGTGTGTGAGTGTGTGTGAGAGTGTGTGTGAGAGTGTGTGTGAGTGTGTGAGTGTGTGTGTGTGTGTGTGTGAGAGTGTGTGTGAGAGTGTGTGTGAGTGTGTGAGTGTGTGAGTGTGTGTGTGAGTGTGTGTGTGAGTGTGTGTGTGAGTGTGTGTGAGAGTGTGTGTGAGAGTGTGTGTGTGTGTGTGTGTGTGAGTGTGTGTGAGAGTGTGTGTGAGTGTGTGTGTGAGTGTGTGTGAGAGTGTGTGTGAGAGTGTGTGTGAGTGTGTGAGTGTGTGAGTGTGTGTGTGTATGTGTGTGTGTGTGTGTGAGTGTGTGTGAGAGTGTGTGTGTGTGTGAGTGTGTGTGTGTGAGTGTGTGTGTGAGTGTGTGAGTGTGTGTGTGTATGTGTGTGTGTGTGTGTGAGTGTGTGTGAGAGTGTGTGTGAGTGTGTGAGTGTGTGTGTGTGTGTGTGTGAATATGTGTGTGTGTGTGTGAGTGTGTATGTGAATGTGTGTGTGTATTTTGTAGGCAGCATGACCAGGACTTGGAGTGGGGCAGATTGGTGGATTTTTGGTTACCAATAGCCAGGGTCCCATTTCCTCCTAGCAATTGCACAGGCTTATTGGAGTGAGTGTCTGTCAGGTATGACCAAGAGTGTCCTGACAGTCCCAGGGGAGGACGATGCATCCCTTTGAAACACTGGACTTCTGCTCCCCAAGGGTCCTCCCCCAGGACCCCAGAGGGGCTGGGGAGAGAAGGGACCAGTCCACTCACACCCGGTTGAGGTTGGAATCCTCATTCTAACACCAGCTGAAACGCAAGAGTTAAACTCTGAGGACGTTTATCACCATAATGAAGCCCTCTCAGAATTAAGCGGGCGTTCCTGTCCTCCTGCGGTAACTGAACCTTTCAATGTCAAGCTCAAGGACACACACACACACACACACACACACACGCGCGCGCGCGCGCACACACACACACGGCTTCTGGGTGTAAATCATCTGTCAAGACGGCTCTGCATTAACCCATTCATCTACATGTGGCTAATGACTCTCAAGGCCACATCTTGACCTTGACCTCACTCGACATCATGGCGGCCTCCCCCCCAATCAAAGGGTAAAGATCGCAGGTGGCTGGCCTGTCATATACTCCCTGCCCCCTCTCCCCAACAACTTGACCCGAATACGTGAAGCATTCTGTTTTATACGTTGCCCAGGATTCCACACTCCTCCCTCAATCTTGCCCTCAATTCAGGGAACCCGTTATCTCTGGTACCGGCTCCATGGGTCCTCTTCCTTCTGGGGTCACTGCCTCCCCAGAGCCCCACCACTTCTGGGACCACGTGCCCAGCACGGGCACAGGCAAACCGACCTTCTCCTGGCTTCCTGGGGCTGGGGCCCTGCCAAGATCCCCGACTCCCCAGTACTGAGGGAAGTCCTGGAGACGCCCGTGGTGGCAAAATGGCGTGGGGAACGGAGGATGAGGGCGGGGCAAGGCTGTTCTGCCCTCTTTTCCAGACGAGTGACCAAGGGGGCATGTCCACTGCTGGCTGTGGCAAGGAGCCGTTCCCCTTCCGGGCAGGCCCCAGGGGTGGCCAGGGACAGGCGGCCCCAGCAGCTGCCCGTGTCAGGGTGGCAGCTCAAGGCCCCAGTGCTGTTCGTACGGTGGCCCAAGGCCCAAGGACCACCCCGTGTTCAGTGTGTGTAACTTCAAAGCAAACATTGCCTTTTTAAAAAATATTTTTTTATTGATTTCAGAGAGGAAAGGGGGATGGGGGGGAGAGAGAGAGTGAGATTGAGAGAGAGAGGAACATCTATGATGAGAGAGACTCATGGATCGGCTGCCTCCTGCACGCCCCCCCACTGGGGATCCAGCCTGCAACCCAGGCATGTTCCCTGACTGGGAATCGAACCGTGACCTCCTGGTTCATGGGTCCGCACTCAGACACTGAGCCACGCCGGCGGGGTGAGACATTGCCTTGCATTAGGATCCCACGCAAATCCCAAGCCCCAGAGGCGTCCATTAGGTGCCCGCTGCTTCTCTGTCTCCTTGGCCGCCAGGTCAGAGAGCTGCGCCGGAAAACGCCTCTCACCGGTTCCATCCCCTGCCCATTTCCAAACGGACGACAATAACACCACAGGGACAGCGTGGCCGGGAACGTGTCCCCATGACAAAGGAGGGAACGAAGACAGACAGCTCTGCCCAGGCTCAGCCCCTCGGGAAGGTCAAGTCTGAGCTTTCATCCCCTACGTGTCTGTAAACTTCCCTCAGATACCAGGGCGACTGCCACTTGTTCCTGTAAAGCGCCTCCGACGCCCATCAGAAAAGCAGCCCCCGCCACGTGGCTGCCCGCTGAGGTCCGGTCCCACCTGGAGGGCTGCCTGGAGCAGGCTGGCTGGCCACACAGCGGAGGCCGAGGCCGGGGTGCCACCGCCGCCCTCCTGGCCACGCGGCCGCAGAAAGCCGGGGCACAGTCAGGCTGGCAGGTCCTCCACGCGGGGCCCTGGCCTGGTTTGCGGTGCATTTTGTTTCCCTGATGGAAATAAAGGTGTCAAATGAGAAGGAACCCTGCTCCCCATCCCAACACACACACACACACACACATGCACACACACACACACGCACACATGCACACACACACACACACACACACACGATGGCAGCACGCGGTGTCCCAGGAGGAGGCAGACGCAGACCCAAGGAGCGTCCCGAAGTGAAAGAGGAAGGAGAAGGCGGCGGGAGGTGCTGAGTGTGGGCTTCCGGGGTTCCTGTGGGAGCCCAGGGGCCCAGCCCCGCGGGGGCCAGGGTCACGGTGCGGGCAGCGCAGGCGTGGGCAGGGAGGCCAGAGGGGGCCTTGCTTAACCTGCACCTCCTTCTGTCGGCTCTCTTTCAGCCTTAAAAACAGGACACACACACTTCCTCTTGCTCCTCTGGGCGGAGCAAAATGAAATCTGGGAGCAGAAGAGGGGCCCCGCCAGCGCCAGGGCCGTGTCCGCCGGCTGCCTGGCCGTCCCCTGAGGGCACACAGGACTCAGCCTGAACGTCTCTGCTCTGTTCTCTCCTCTGCTATTGGCCCTCCCTGAGTCTTGTGGTGTGTGTGTGTGTGTGTGTGTGTGTGTGTGTGTGTATTTTTAATCTATTCTGATATAATTATTTTTACTTTTTTAAAAAATATATATTTTTATTGATTTCAGAGAGGAAGGAAGGGGGAGAGAGAGAGAGAAACATCCATGATGAGAGAGAATCATGGGTCGGCTGCCTCCTCCAAGTCCCCCACTGGAGATCGAGTCCATAACCCGGGCATGTGCCCTTGACCAGAATCGAACCTGGGGCCTTTCAGTTCGCAGGCCGACACTCTATCCACTGAGCCAAACCAGCCAGGGCCTTTTTACTTTTTATAACCACAAAAGTAATATATGTCCATGGTAGAGGGTTTAGAAAATAGAGATTAATACAAAATTGTTTTTTCTTTTATCCTCACCTGAGGGTATTTTTTCCTTTGATCTTTAGAGAGAGTGAAAGGAAGGGAACAGGGGAGAGAGGGGGAGCGAGAGAAACATCGATGTGAGAGAGACACATCGACTGGTTGCCTCCCGCACGCTCCCGGACAGGGACCAGGGATTGAACCTGCAACCGAGGTACATGCCCTTGACTGGGAATCTAACCTGTGACCCTTTGGTCCACGGGCCGACACTCTAACCACTGAGCCAAACAGGCCAGGGCTCCCTGAGTCTTGTTTTTATCTTACTCATAAAATGGAGACAGACAACAGCCCCTGCCATAATTCGGGAAAGTCAAGCGAAATAGAATAACAAACACGTAACGGCAGTAAATCCCACGTGTGTGTGTTATGTGCATTCATATCCATTAAAACATATATACACACTCTGTGTCCCCTCCATGTGGAGCCTGGGGTGCCCCTGCCCTTGGCTCAGGTTCTCCTGGGAGGACAGCTGCCTGGGGCCGGCCCCTCTCCTCCCACGCCCGCCCCGCCCCTGCCTGGCAGCCGCTGAGGCCAACTGGGATGGGCAGCTGGTCCTAGACGGGAACTTGGAGGCCTGACCACGGGCAGGTCGCTCCCTGTGCGGGCCCCAGGCCTGGAATGCCCGCTCGTGAAACTCTAGCTGGCCGACCTTTTGGGTGAAGTGCCGCCCGCCTGTGCCTTGGGGGCCCGGGATGGAGGGAGGGCGGCCTGGCGGGAAGTGACGGGATGCCCGTCGCGCTGTGGCTGTGTGCCCTTCACCCTGGCTCTGAGGCCATCTCCCTCCCAGCTTCTCTTCACTCTGCCCTTCAGCATCTTCTTGGCCACGCACATTGCTCAGGTCAAATAATAGTGACAGCAGCAGGGACACCAGGCCACCCTCCCCAGGTGGTCCCTCCCGCCACGCTGCCTGCCCCTGTGCACCTTCTCCGTCTGTCTCCCAAGCGGAGCCGCTCATCCTCCCAGCCTCAGCCAGCCCCACACCGCGCCCTGTGGCTCCCAGTCCCACACCATCTTGCGTGTTATGCACACGTGTGGTTGTGTTTATTTGTGTAGCGTCTAGAACAGCCGTGGGCAAACTATGGCCCGCGGGCTGGATCCGGCCCGTTTGAAATGAATAAAACTAAAAAAAAAAAAAAAAAAAAGACCGTACCCTTTTATGTAATGATGTTTACTTTGAATTTATATTAGTTCACACAAACACTCCATCCATGCTTTTGTTCCGGCCCTCCGGTCCAGTTTAAGAACCCATTGTGGCCCTCGAGTCAAAAAGTTTGCCCACCGCTGGTCTAGAATGTAGGTGCCAAGGGGGAGGGCTAGGCCTGACATAGAAGGGGTGCTCAGATAATAGGCATGGAGCCCGGCCGGTGTGGCTCAGTGGTTGAGCGTCGACCTATGAACCAGGAGGTCATGGTTTGATTCCTGTTCAGGGCACACGCCCGGGTTTCGGGCTTGATCCCCAGTAGGCGGCGTGCAGGAGGCAGCCGATCCATGATCCTCTCTCATCATTGATGTTTCTCTTTCTCTCTCTCCCTCTCCCTTCCTCTCTGAAATCAATTGTGTGTGTGTGTGTGTGTGTGTGTGTGTGTGTGTGTGTGTGTGTAACAGAGGCATAAAATGAATGAGTGGATGAGGTAAGAGAGGCTCAGAGAGGGCAAGTTGCTTGTCCAAGGCCACACAGCTGGCAAGTGGTGGAAGGAAGCTTGGGATTGTATCGCCTTCGACTCCTGGAGACCTGGTGCCTGAGCTGCCATCCCCACCCCTCCCTGCCCCTTAGAGGCCCCCTTCCCTTGCCCCACACACCTGCACAGGGAGTACCTTAGCTCTGCTGTCAATCATACCCCTCCCTTACTCCCTACCCAGGTAGCATCACCCAGGGACACAAGGTGGGGGTAGGAGTTGGGCTCAGGGGCCCAGCTTGCAGCCTTTCTCAAGCAGACAAACTTCAGAAAGAGAATCGGTTGGGTCCAAGCACGAACCATGGAGAGCCTCCTCCCGCAGGCTCCTTCCCATCCCGCTCCCCTGCGCCCGGCAGCGTTTGAAGATGGGCCAGCCGGCTCTACCTGTCTTGCACATTTGGAATCTAGGTCATTCTGCTGCCCCCTCCCTCCCTCCTCTGAATGACAAGCAGGCTTTCTCCTAGGGTCTCAGAGCCAGAGAGAGGGGATTGGGGGGGGGGGGGGGCGAGGCGAGGAGGGAATGTTTCAGTGGCACCCACACCCTGCCTGCTGCTGTCAGGCACACTTCATTTTGGAGCCACTATAATTTATGAGATGCAAATGGATTTAGCATCCAAAAAAAAAAACCTTGGAAAAGGTACAAAGTGCACCTCACACCCTTGCGCTCTCAGGCGTGTGAGGGGCTCCATTAATCATCTCAGACAAAAGAGATTTCATCTGAGGCTGGTGGCTGGGGAGCGCACCCGTGTCGCTCCCTGAGCCCGGGAGGCCGGCGGGGGGGAGCAGGGGGCGCTGGCTGCGGGCCTGGCCTCCGGCGCGCGCTCCGCACTTGCGCTCAGGTCTCCTCCTCTGAGTCAGGCAGCAGATGAAATTACAGAGGTGCCTGCACAGGATGAATCAGAAAGCAGGATCAAGCCAAATATTTAGACAAGCCTTGCCCCGCGTGGGGCAGGAGGAGGCTTTGCAGCCAGCAAGCAGCCTGCCAGCAGCCAGCCCGGATGGTTGGGGGTTTTTTTGTGTGTGTGTTTTTTCTTGACAAAAGTGCCTCCTCGCACAAGGCAGGCTGGCGTGTAGAGAGAATCCGCTCCCATCCACAAGGCACCCTGCGGTCTGATCTCTGTGCCAGCGCCTGGGAAGGGGGCTCACAAGCACCCCAGGGTCCTGAGCAGGGATTCCGTCTGGCCCCCAGACGAAGGAGCATGTCAGGGTGCAGCTCGCAGGGTGGGGGGCGGGGAGGGGGGAGGAGATGGCTCCCTTTGAGTCACCCCATCTGCCTTCTCTTTCTGGGAGTCATCAGGGCGGCGGGGATCACGCAGCCCGCCACTCCTGCCTGGGCCCCGGTCTGTCCAGACGGGTGCAGACACCAGACCCAGCGGCCACAAAATAGGGAAGGAGGTGCAGCCCTGTGCCCCGTGGCAAGGCTTACAGCTGCGATGCCTTTCACGAGGGGCCTAATTGCTACCCTCCTCAGCTTCAAAGCCAAGGGCTTTCAAGGCTGCTCGGAACAATAAAACCGGTAATGACAAGGCCACTTTAGGTTTGTCTGAAATCTCGCTTTTTTTTTTTTTTTTTTTTCTTCAACGAACTTTTGAAAGGGCTCAGCATTCTGGGGGTTATTTTAAGCCACCTTTCCCCCTCTGCAGGGATGCTCTCAGGAACCAAGTGAGGCTGCCTTGAAGGACACAGACAGATCCCTGCAAGCAAGCCGTGGACACTGGTGAATAACCACAGTGGCTCACAGACGCTGGGGGCTGACTCCGTGCGGCCACGGGAATGTCCTGCCTGAGCCTCCTTAGAGCCCTTGCAAGGCGGGTACTGTCACTTTCTCACTCTGCAGATGAAGAGGCAGGATGGGAGAGGTTATACGACTTTTCCAGGACCGTACAGCTAGTAGGTTGCACATCTGGAAATTTACATATATATATTTATTGATTTCAGATATGAAGAGAGAGAGAGAGAGAGAGAGAGAGAGAGAGAGAGAGAGAAACATCAATGATGAGAGGGAATCATGGATCGGCTGCCTCCTGCACACCCCACACTGGGGATCGAACCTGCAACCCAGTCATGTGCTCCTGACTGGGAATTGAACCGTGACCTCCTGGTTCATAGGTTATTGCTCAACCACTGAGCCACACTGCCCGGGCTGCACAGCCAGAATTTAAACCCAGGACCCGCGCTCCCCACCTCCCCCGATTATATTCTGCCTCGCAGCAGCACCCTTGGTGCACAAAGCCTGTAGCCAAATGACCACGGGAACAAGTAAGTTCAGAGCCCTCTGTGAAGTGATCAGACTGGGCACTGCCTCTGGGAGCCTGGCCGGCCCTAGAAGCCGGAAGAAAACTCTGAGTGAGGGTGGCTGGCTTCCTCAGAGGCCAGACAGTCCTCCTCATGGGCTAGCCAGGGTCCGGCCACGTGGGCCAGCCCTGCTTGCTCGGAGACAAGACTCAGCAAAGATCCTCCCGGCCAGACACCCCCGGAGACACCAAGGCTGCTGAGCTTGCACGCGGAGCAGACCTGCCTTCGGAGGCACGGAGCCCCCGCACGGCCGGGACACGGTGCCCACAAGCACTGCTGCGTGGAGCCGCAGAGCTTGCGTGAGGAACCTCACTGATCATGCGCCCAGACTCCGTGTGCCGGCAGTTCACGCAGGGTACAGAGGGATCCATTGCTCCGTGACGTCTGAGACACTGAGAGACGCGGCTGGTCTGTGGCTGGTGGCTGGGCTCCTCTGGAGATGTCCTCACTCACATGGCTGGTGGCTGATGCTGGCTGTCAGTGGGGACTCAGCAGGGACTGTCACCAGAATATGTCTATGTGGCTTTGGTGATCTTACAGCATGGGGGCCTCGGCGTAGTGAGACTTCTTATACAACAACTGTATGTCTTCTGGCGTTGCCATACCAAAGTGCTACGTACTGAGTGGCTTAGAACCCAACAGAACTGCCCAGCCAGTTCTCAATTGGTTGGGTGTCATCCCATGCATCCAAAGATCCCTGGTTCGATTCCCGGTCAGGCCACATGCTTGGGTTGTAGGGCTGATTCCCAGTAGGGGCCATGCAGGAGGCAGCCAATCGATGTTCCTATCTCTCTCCCTGCCCCTCTTTCTAAAATCAATAAAAAAAACATTTAAACAAAAACAAACACACAAACCACAACAGGACTGGATCATCTCACAGTTCTGGAGGGTAAAAGTCCAAAGTCAAGATATAAGCACATTTGGTTTCTTCTAAGGGTGTGATCTGGGCCAGGCTTCTCTCCTTGGCTTGCAGATGCCCTTTTCTCGCTGGGTCTCCACATCGTCCTCCCTCTGTGTGTCGGTGTCTACATTTTTCCCACCCCCCTCCTTAAAAATAGATTTTTATTTACTTCAGAGAGGAAGGGAGAGGGAGGGGGAGAGAGAGAAGCATTCATGATGAGAGAGGATCACGGATCGGCTGCCTCCCGCACGCCCCGTGCTAGGGGTCGAGCCCGCACCCCGAGCCTGGCTTTGGTTATTGACGTGGAACAAGACGCTTTTGGAGTTGAGAAGACCTTTTTTCTTGGAAGTGCCTGGCTCTTGCCACCGAACGCCTCCCTGTCTTTTGTGGCATGGACCTCAGGGGCCTGTCCTGGATGTCAAGACATGGACATGGTCTCTTCTCTTTGGAATCCAACTATAAACAGCCGCACGTCTCCCTATGCTGGACAAGATCGCTGGCGAGGACGTGTGAAGAGAGAAAAACGCATTAATTAACATTGGGTTGATGGAGAGATTTGAACTGAGTCTGTCTCTAAGACTGGCTGAGGTATCAGTGTTTGCACCGGAGGGTCTCCCTGTGGCGAGATGCTGGGACCCCTGAGCGTTAAGGATGCAGAGAGAGGGGTAAGGGGCCTGGTGACCCAAGTGGCAGTTCATTGATTCATTGAGTTAGTATAGCACCTTTGCCCTTCATCTCCTCCAGGGCAGGAAAGATGCCATTCCATAGGCTGCCGACTCCTAGAGTGTATTAGTTTCCTTTTGCCGCTATAACAAATGACCGCAGGCTCAGTGGCTTTAAAAGAACACACACGTTTTACATTTCAGTTCCGGAGGTCAGACATCTGCTGTGGGTCTCCCTGCGCTGAAATCAAGGTGTCGGCAGGACCGGTTCCTTCCAGGGGCCCAGGGAAGAACGTTTCCCTGCAGGAAGGACGCCAAGCGCCCAGCCTCCAGCCCCAAGTAGGCCCAGCCTCACTGAGGCCACCAGCAGAGTTGGGTGATGGGGACAGGGCCGGCATTGAGAGAGAGAAAGGGCGGGGGGGAGGGGAGATAGAAACTTCAGTGATGAGAGAGCATCATCGATGGCCTGCCTCCTGCACACCCCCTGCTGAAGATTGAGTCCGCAACTTGGGCATGTGCCCTGACCGGGAATCGAACCAGCAACCTCTTGGTTCATGGTTCAGTGCTCAGCCGCTCAGCCACATCGGCCGGGCTTGGCTCTATGGACATCCAGTTTTTCTAGCTGGGGAGGGGAGCAGCCCTCGGGTCTGACTGGTGCCAAGTGGTAAATATTTGGAGCGTGTGAGCCTTAGGATCCTTGCAGGAAAGTAGGCAGGGACTCAGAGCCATTGAGATTTGGACGCTGACGTCACCGCTTCCATCCCCTGGGGCTGGTGACATGGAGCGCGGGATCCTGTGGAAAAGGCTGCTGCCCGGGAGCCGTGGGCAGCAGGGCACCTCCCACACAGACCCACAGGCAGCAGGGAGAGAGCAGGGCAGCCACGTCGGCTTTGGGCAGAGAGAGGCAGCAGGACCGAGGGGGCCGGCCCAGGACACAGCCTGCTGCGCGGAGGGCCAGGGCGGCCCTTCCTCCAGGGCCGGGGGAGGGTGGCCGCTGGCTGGACTGGAGGAACAAGGAAGCAACCCCAGAGGGGCCACGCGGGTCCTTCCCAACAAGGAGAGATCCGCGTTTATAACTGAGATGAGAGAGGGAGCTGCATTATTTATGAAGCAGCTCGGCCGGCCCGGAGCTAACAAGGAAGGAGGAGGCCTTTAGAGGGGAAAGTGGTTTCAAAAACATCCGTATTTTGCTGAAAAACACACACACAAACTATGATTTATGGTGCGCTGAGGTTTAGAACCGGAGATGACTCGAGTGCAGTTAGAGACCATTGGGGAGGGGGTGGCAGTGGGGGGATCCGGCAGGCTCCTGGTGAGAGAGGGCGCACTGTGGGGTCACCGCCTGGGTACAGAGGAGTGTGTGTGAGTGTGTGTGAGTGTGAGTGTGTGTGTGAGCACGTGTGTGAGTGTGTGTGTGTGAGAGTGTGTGTGTGTGTGTGAAGGTGCAGAGCCTCTGGGACTTGGGTGTTAATTCTGTTTGTTGTGCTAATCTGTTTTATTTTTTTAAATGTATTTTTGTTGATTTCAGAGAGGAAGGGAGAGGAAGAGGGAGAGAGAGAATCATCAATGATGAGAGAGAATCATTGATCGGCTGCCTCCTGCATGCCCCCCACTAGGGATGGAGCCTACAACCCGGGCATGTGCCCTGACCGGGAATCAAACCATGGCGAGGCAGACTAATCTGTTTTAGATCAAAACTCTAAGAAAAGAGTATGTTTAGTATCCTTTCTTTTTAAAATTAAGGTATAAGGTGGTCAGGTTGATGAGGGTTGATCATTGTATATGCCCCTGTAACCGCTGAAAACATCTCCAATCTCTGTCCCCACCCCCCAGCCCGGTGGGATGGGGACTCCTCTGAGGCCTTGTTGCCCATCCATCCCCACTTGCTGTCGGACAGTAACACTTCCATGCGCCTCCTTCTTGAGTTCGAATTGAGGAAAACCTCTCCTCTCTCCACGGCCTGATCTTTCCCTTGAACACTTGGCTCCAGCCCTAGGGTTTCTGAGCTGGTTTGGATGTCTGAAGCTGGGCCGTCTTCATCCCACTGTCTCCTCCCTCCTTCTTCCCAGCTACCACCCCTGAAAGTGGCGGAAACCGAGGCTAAATAAGGGAAGGTCCCCGAGAAGGATGAGAAAAGCAAGCACGTGCATGGTTTCAAGGTATTCATCTTTTTTTGGTATGTGTTTATTGATTTCTAGAGGAAGGGAGAGGGATAGAGAGACAGGAACTTCGATGAGAGGAACATCATCGATCGGCTGCCTCCTGTACCTCCCCTACTGGGGACTGAGCCCACAACCCAGGCATGAGCCCTGGCCTGGAATTGAACCGGTGACCTCTTGGTTAGCCTAACCAACTTGGGACTGGGAGCAACATGACAGGCAGCCTCCAAGATGGCCATCGGTGATCACCACCCACCTCTGATATCCATGCTCTTGTGTAGTTCCCTCCCACCGAGTATTGGTCGGTGTGACCGGTAAAATAAGGCACAGTGCCCCTCTCTCGAGTCGCTCGCTCTGGGGGGAGCCAGCCGCCATGCTGTGAGTCTACACAACGAGAAACCAAGGCCTCCTTTCAAAAGCCACTGAGGGAGCCACCTGGCAGCAAGCCCAGAATCACAGTGGCGGACGAGGGTGGCAGACAGGGCTCCTGCAGGCAGCCCCAGCAGCGCCTGAAAGAGGAAGTAGAGGCCTAGAGCGGTCAGATGACCCATAACCTCACACAGCTGGTCAGCCCCCAAGCCGCAGCACTCACAGTCTGATTTTCTTTCTTAAATAAATATATTTCTGTTGATTTCAGAGAGGCAGGGAGAAGGAGAGATACAAGCATCAATGATGAGAGAGAATCATGGGTCGGCTGCCTCCTGCATGATCCACGCTAGGGATCGAGCCCTGACCGGGAATCGAACCGTGACAGGTCAACGCTCAACCACTGAGCCACACCGGCCAGGCAAGACTTGACTTTGTAAAGAGTATTGTTACCGTCAAAAAAAAAAAAAAAAAAAAAACCCACTTGAAATTCAAATGCTTTTCCCTTCATTTTTGCAAAGAGGCTGCAGGCCAACCAAGACAATAGTTTAAAGAAAAGAAATCTCAGGGACAGGGGTTGTGATATCCCTTCAGGTGGATGGAAACGGATGCAAACAACAGAAACCAA